GCTTGGGAGCTGGGCCCTTGCCCTTCCCACCCCCAGCTGTGGAGGAGGCTGAAGAGGAGCCCTTCCCAATGCCCTTGGTCCCTGATGGTGGGGAAAGGGGCTTGGGAACCCCTCTGGGAGGGGCCTGGCCCAGGGAGACCCCCTGGCCCTGCTGGCTCCCTGCCAGTCTCGCCTGCCCCTGCAGCAGAGGTCTGAGGCTTCCCCACCCCGGTGGAGGTTGTTTGGACTCTGCCTCCAGGGTGGGGGCTGCAGGGGCATGCATCCTTCTGGGGGCTTGCCTGGGATCTGCCCCCATAGCGGGGGCTACAGGAAGCTCTGTAGGGGCATCTACCCCCACCCCCAGAACGTTCCTGCCCTACTATTGCTTCACGAGGGAAATGAAGATGACCAAAATATACAGTGGCCTGGTGAATCTAATAGGGGCAGGCTGGGGTTGTGGGGGAAGTGGGCAGGAGGGGAAAGGGGGCTGAAACTCAGAGGTACAGCCCCACAGGAAAAAAAAACCCTAGGAGGACTATGCTTGGGGAATGGGTGGGGGACCCACACACGAGGGGTGGGGAGACATGAGCTGGCTTAGCCACACAACAAACACTAGGGCAGGGGGAGTGGACCACAGGACTTACCACACAAGGGCAAAAACACACAGGGAAGGCTGCTGAGGCAGATGTAAAAGATGAGAGGGGCTTTGTTTGTTGCAGATCAGTCTGGGAGCCCCTCAGGCCTCCAGCCAGGCACTCAGCAGCAGAATACGCTGGGAAAACAAAGCAGGATCAGATGCAGTGGGGCAGCTGTGAGGAAGTGCAGGAGCAATCAGTCAGTTGGGGAGTAATCCAGTGCAGGTGTGGTGTTGAGTGGTGCAGCAGGGAATCTCCCTCTTCCTTGAGAGGGGGCAGCAGCGGGAGCGGAAGCAACCATCTAGTTCAGCCACTCAGGTGGTGCTTCAGGTGAAAGCAGAGGTGAAGGTGGCCTAGCCTGCTAAGGCAGCTGTGGCAGGTAGGTATCTTTAGGCTCTGGCAGTGATGCTGGAGGAGGGCCCCAGAGGCAGTATAGGCTCCCTCCCCAGGCTGTCCCCCAACCATGACTTGGTGGTGGGCTGGGCAGCAGGCTAGAACAGGGTGCAAAAGCTGGGGTGTGGTGCAGTACAGTGGACCCCTCCCTGAGGGGGGACAGTGGCATGCAGCAGACGACCCCCTCGCGGGGGGGCGGGGGGGGGGAAGGGGAGCAGCAAGAGCAGCAGCAGCCCAAGGCAGGAGGGGGTGTGGCCAACTTCCTCCCAGAATCTGCTGAGTACAAGTAGCCCTGAGCTGCTGGCCTGGGCAGCTTTTAATACTGCTGGAGCCAGCATAGGTGCTTGCCCTAGCCTTCAACTCCCTATGGCTGCAGATCCAGGAGGAGCTGGGCAGGGTCAGTTTGCCCCAGGTGGCACACCAAAGTTCATGATCAGGGACATGTGCTGAGGCACAAATCTCCAGCACAGATGCATGCCACTGCTATTTGAGTTGCTGCAAGCGCACATGCCTGCATGTGTGGACATGCCCTCTGGATCTGAATGTGGCCCATTCATGTGTAATGTAAGCCTAACCCAAGGAGCTCTTTTAAAAAGAGCTGCTGATTGCATCTTTAGCTTAGGTTGGATTTATCTACTGCATCCTTTGTGAGTGATTATCAATTATTTAATCTTTTCCTTCCTTGAGTGGAGATACACTTTCCTTATTATCCCAGACTTCGGCATTGAATCAGAAAGCGCATGGAGGCACAAAAGGAACCAGAACTTGTGGTAGAGGTGATTATATTGTATTAGACCAACTAGATTTTTGCAAAAAAATAAATAAAAAATTGCAAGCACCTTTCTTCAGGCATAAGAGAAAAGATTGTAAGTTCTCCCAGGTAGAAATGAAAGTTCGTATTTCATAGAAGAGTTCAAGGTGTGGTAAAATCTCCTGTTTGGCACAGTTCATTTTATGCAGGTTAGGCTCAGAGAAAAGTTGGAATAGTCTTTTTACCTCTTTGTAAAAAGTTGTTTGGTAGAGAGCAGGATGTAGTTATATTTCCTTCTGGTTATGATGTTTCATATTTCACAGAAGAGTAAAAAGTTAGAATGCTTTTCTGGGCAGGAATTTCTTATGTGGGGAGGAATTTCTATGTTCCATCATTTTACTTTTCTGTGAAATATGAAACATTATAACCAGAAGGAAATATGACTACATTCTGCTTGCCACCAAACAATTTCAAGGTAAATTGACTATTCCAACTTTTCTCTAGCCTAATCTGCATAAAATGAACTGTGCCAAGCAGGAGATTTTACCACACCTTTAACTTTCCTATGAAATATGAACTTTCATATTTACCTGGGAGAACTTTTACAGGCTTTTCTCCTATGCCTGAAGAAGGGTGCTTGTGCTCAAAGGCCTGTAATTAACGATTTTTTTTTTTTTTTTTTGCAAAAATCTAGTTCGTCTAATAAAAGATACCACTTCTACCATGAGTTCTGATTCCTTTGGCCTCTAGACCAATATGGCTACGACCTGAATACCTAGAGACACAAAAAGCTTTTAAGCAGGCATTAAGAAACACATGCAGTTCCACTTACAGGTGCAACTTTATTTACAGTGTAAAGTGCATCACACAGAACATGTCTGAAATTCACAACAAGCAGTGACATAAATGACAATACAATATATGCAAAAAAAGGTTGCTCCTTTCTGACTACAATACTGTATATATCAAAATATCATTAACAGCATTAACTAGAACAGCCTCTACTTTCAGCCACTCTGCCCTGCCAGCAGTGCTGCTTATCAAATGGCTTGTCTGGGCTGGTCCTTGAAGCTCATTTCTTTGTTCTCCCATGTCAATCTGGAAGTGCATGAACTTCTAGAGCCAAAAGCAGGTCATGTGGCTGTAACGCTTTTTTTGAACAGTCTCCTGCCAACTCAAAGTGCCTTCCTAAGTACCACTGTTCTGCTCCAAAGAGAGTGCAAGGGCAAGACAGAGTCAGGGCATCACAAGGAAAGAAAGTGCACACACTATATAAGCACAGTAGAAAAGGTACTGTTTGGTTTTAAGAGACAAGAACAATATATATATATATATATATAAAAGATAGTTTTGATTTCTCTACCAACACATCCCAGAACCTGAAAAGTTTCTGGGCAGCTTACTGCAAACGGGTCTTATGGAATATTAAGCCCTCATTTATGTATTGTGCGCAACAGCAAAGACTCTGGGGAATATAACACCTATAGAGGGTAGTGTTTAATCCTAGTAACGTATGTTGCTCATGGAGAGCTGCTTCCCACTTGCTAGTGAGAACAGCTCACAGATTCAGGTTGCTGTACTGTTGTTTGAGGACTACAGTTTAGTATAATTAGTTCTGAAATATCACAAGCTGATAAATGATTAAATCAATGTTGTGAATGAGGCCAACTGTCATGGGGGGGCAGTCACAGTGCAGTTTTCACAGCCTAGCTAAGCTTGATTGTGGAAGACATTTTTTTTTAATTCTTCTTCTGATTTCTTTTCACGGCATACAGATTGCTACAATCTCAATGGAAATCTCTCACATGGCTGCTGCACGTGCGTGCTGAAGGGTCTAAGCAAAGCTACGATGTGCATTACAATCAAAATTGGAAACACTGATTCCATTTTAGAAAAATGTCCTCCTGTACTTGCCCTGTTATTATGTTTTCTAATTGATAGCTTGTAGTTTTACAGGCTCCAATCATTATTTCTCCCTCTATAGTTGGCACCACAGTAATTAGATAATATTCAATATTTACTTTTCACTGGTACCAAGGATAGGTGCATATATATGATTATCATCTCCCAAACATTTTTTATTTTGTTCCCCTTGGCATGCTCATGACAGGAACTTAAACAGAAAGGATGAGAAGGGTGCAGAGTGCCCACAGAGGGCTAAAAGGATAAATAAGCACTAAGGTTGCACGAGATAAACTACTGGCACCATCTTCAGTCCTAATGCTGACTCCTAATCATTTTATATCATTACATGAGTCTTTTGAGCCTGGAGAGGTGGCCTTTCAAGGACAGAGCATTAAGTCTCTAATGAAACTCTTGTGTAGCAAATCCTTTCATACTTCAGACTTTTTCTAAGTAATGCTAACAGTAAACATTCTCACCCATGCACACATACAACTGGCCCCCTGCTTTTAACTTAGCTATAGGTGAGTCTCACTGTGTGCATCTACACATGCAGTTAGCACATAGCAATGAACTCTGGCCCATTTGCCACTGGAGTTTATTACTCCTTGGTGGCATGTTTGCATGTGTGCCCAGGACCACAGCACATTGGGCTGGGGTGGACCAGCCCCAGCTGGCAGGGGGCCTGGAGCTGTTTCAACCCAGCTCAACCCTTGTGCCCTATCAGCATCTACATGTGCATGGTGGCACACTAAATAACACTGTCATAGGACAGTACTTGTACTAACCTACGGCCATGTTTATTAGTTTACTACGGCCTAATAGGGCCACACATGTAAACACAGACTTTACTGCAGAGCTAATTAGGCAAGTCTGCAGTAAAAGTCTTGTGTAGATGCACCCAGTGTGTTGGGTCCTCATCAGTTGCCAGGGGGACGATTACTGACACTTTGCCTGCCTCCTTCATTCTGAGCTACACTATGTTCTTTCACCTACTGTTTGCTTTATACCATTTTCACCAGTGAACCTATGGTAAAATTAACAACTATACTCCCCCGTTAAAACATTTTCAAAGAAAGTGAATTCTAGGTGGTAAGAATTACAGGACCTGACCCTCTCCGTGCGTATGATAAGAGTCTGACACTGCCATAGCTCCACTGATTTTAGTGGAATTACTCCTTGTTTACATCAATGTGAGCAAGATCAGAATTAGGCCCAAAGGGATTATTATATTATGCTTCACAGCTCAGTTAGCTCATGGTAACTATTATTTCCAATCTAATCTATGAATTACAGTACGGCTTTGGCAAACAGTACCTAGAATTGTAACATCCTCTTTACTCTTGATTAGAAGTAAAGTGTATTTTGATTAACAATTTGTATTCAAGAAATTGGGATGCACAAATTGTACACAAGCCACTTCTGCAGTGGACAGAAGATGCTGTACTTACTGGGGGTGGGGCTTTATGTGTGTGTAGCAGCATATAGTTTACATACTTTTGGATATGAAAAAATAAAATATAAAACGGGGAGAGAAAGGAAGCACTGAATTTGATTTACAATGCATTGTGTTCCAAGGTCTAGTGGCTCTGGTGAAGACATTTTCTTCATGTAAATCAGCTGCTCTGCTGTTAAAAGGAATAGAATCCAGCTTTTCTTTTCCTGTGGTGACAGAAAAACAAAATAAAATCAGGGCTGCATAACATAAAGAGGGAGCCCAACAGCATGAGGCACATCAAAAAGACCTCTGAAAGCAGATGTGATTAGAATTAGGTGGTGTGGCAGAAGCACATTGGAGACTGACATCTGGCACCACGATGCAAATTGTAGATTGTTGGTAAGTGGCTTGAAGAAAAATCCTGATAGTCCTGAACCCTGATAAAAGCTTCTGGGCCTGCCTGCACATCCCTTTAGAATCACTGTTCCCAGCTGCCTTGCCACTACTAACCTCCTCTCCATTGCTTTCTACTCCTGCTTGCACATCTGACCACAGCCTTTTAAAACTTAAGCAATGGTTCTGATCCTGCTATGAGCTACACAGTGGGCACATCTACACGTGCATTAAATTTAGTACCTTCAGCGTAACATACTAAATAAATTTGCATTAGGCTGCCCTAATATGCAGTAGTGAAAGTGCATCCCTTTTTAGTGGCGCATAATGTGCTGTAGCCTATTTTACTGAGCATTGGCATAATACACAGGTTATGATGTGATGCTTAAATGCATAGTAAAATAGGCTACTGCACATTAAAGCGCATGTGTAGACCCCCCCCCCCGTAATGAACATGTGCATCTGCATGGAGCACATGGCAGGGTAGAGGCCAAATTCTGGGACTAATGAGACGAGAGTCAAATAAAATAAATCCTGTTAAACTTTCCTTGTGCCTTTGTCTGTGATTATCACTTGTTGGCCAAATCTAATTAAGAACAAGTCTTTGTGCACAGACCTCATGCTAGCATTGATAGAAGTTCCATGCACAAGTTCTAGAAGGCCTGGGCCATTAAGGCTATATAAGCTCACTGGGCCATGACCCTGTCTTCTCTGAAAGTGTTTGTAACCCTTGATAAATAAGAACAGTAGTTCAGTTTGGTGACAGGTGAACCTTAAAGGGTTAAAGTTCTGATTTGGCTCAGTTAAATTCCATCAAGTTAGTCTGTGAAAGCAAAGCTTATCCTTAATTTCTTTGGTTCTGCAAAACCAAGCTGAAACTATTGTGACAAAACTGTGTCTTGGGATTTGTTTCAACTTTTCTGTTTCATGGCCTGAGTAGAAATGGGTCACAAGATCAGCCTCTTGTGAGGGTTTAGAATTTACAGCTCTGGACTGAGAAAGAAGCTGAGTGTAAAGGTGGGCGAAAACAGGGAATTGACACAAGAGAGAAAGGACAGCCAGTAATTCAATCATTTAAGACCTTCCAAAATCAGTCAAATGTGGTCATGATTCTAAAACAGCTATTTCTTGGAGGTGCACCAATGTTTATATTAGCTGAAGATCTGGCCTAGTATGCCCATGTTGGGAATAAAAACCCTTTAACCCTGATCAATATCTTTCTGGGGCTAACACTTTGGATGGAATTGGAGTGCGTCTCCAAGACCAACAGTGATCACTGCATAAGGATTTCCAGGGAGGACAGTCTTTAGCCATTTGTTGAGGGCAGGGGAGATGCTCACGTAATGGCAACAGACTTACCATTTCTGGGGAAAACAGCCACTGATACAAATTTTTAAAAATGGTTTAATTATTTACTGAAATAGTACAGTTCTATATCAGGGGTTTGGCAAACTTTTTTGGGCAGAGTGTCAAAAACACTTGCAACCTTAATTTTGTAAGACATTGATGTGCCAGGTGCAGACAGTGGGGGAGCCATGAGGGGCTTGATCCTTGTTTTGGCAGAGTAGCTCCAGCCCCTTCCCCAAGCTGTGCGTGCCAAGCAGAATGACTTCATGTGCTACACTGTGGCACCTGTGCCAGGGTTTGCCTACTCCTGTTCTATATTTTGCCAACATACAGAATGAATATGAATCTGTTCATTAGGGGCCTGTATGGGCTCCAGTATTGACATTTCTTCTATTTATGTTTTTTAATGGGCTTTGTTTATATTTCAAGAAATCATACATGAGAACACACAGAATGCATTTTTCTCATGACATTTTACTGCATGGACGATGACAATATCATCTAAAATCCAGCTAACATCTTGCTGCAGGCCCATAAATGGCTCTTTGATGGTAATGAGAAATAAAAATACCCTTGCCAAAATATTGGATTTTCTCCAACAGAATCCAAATGCACAGCTTCATTATTTATCTTTGAAGTGCAACACAGATATCTTACAGGGAACTGTGGTGAAACTCCCTGATATGAAACTTTACACCATACTAAGCAAGGCAGTGATCTGAACAAAAACAGTGCTAAAACCAGCCCTGGCAGCATGCTGTGCTGGTTCCTGAGAAAGTGGGCATAGGCATAACATCTGGTTCCACACCCTCTGGGCTGATGGAAGTCAGCACTATGGTAGATCTGACAAAAGCACCCCATTGTCACGCGATTCAAACGCTAGGGAAGCTGGAACCGGCACAGGCTGTGCACTATGGATATACGTAAAAATACTGTTACTGTTATTATTTCAAATGCATAGCACCTCAGAGCCTAAACCATGAACCTGGATCCCACTGTGATATGCACTATTTAAATACAGAACAAAGCGATGTTTCTGGCTCCAGAAAAGCTTACAATCTAAACAAAATAGACATTAAAGCCAACCCAGAAAACAAAGAGGAGCAAATCCAAGCAACAGCCTTCATGTCAACTCTCATGCCATGAACCCTGAGTCTCCGACCCCTCTACATGACTCAGGATGGTGCTTTCTAACAACCTCAGGTTGGTGGAGAGCATGCTGTTCACAGGTCTTGACTGACCTGCCACCAAAAATGGGAAGGTGTTAATCTCCAGAGAGGATCCTGATGTAGCTTCCCTTTCCATTTAGTGATTATTCCCTTTCCATTTAGATAAACTGTAACTTAAGAGCCAAGCCTGGCATGGAGGACAACTGAGCAGCACTTACCTGGAGCAGTCATGTCCAGTCCAGGATGAGGGACAATGGCACCGATTTGGTCGTATACATTTCCCACCATTCAAACATGGATTCTGGCAAACAGCTGCATTCAAATATACATGTATTGTTACTAATGGACTCATGATCCTCCAAGAAGATTACAACAGATTTCAGCCGGAAGATGAAGCTGTATTTGGACGAACCTACATTTAGCCTTAGTTGTTTTTAAGCTATGCCTGTATCATTTCCTTAAATTTCCTCTTCCCAAAACCACAATGTTAAAAAAGGCAGATCTGAAAAAATGTTTCTACATATGGCAGCTGGGACAAAGTAAGCTCAGAAGCAGGTCTTTGCAAAATGGGAATCAAGCTGTTTTACTATTTTGCTACCTAAGGAGGTGCAAGCAGCATGAATCATTAAATGCAATATTTCAGGTTGGTTTGGAAATCATGTGTTACTGCTCCATGCTGTGGGAAGTGAAGTGGAATGCAAACAGAAGCAGTAGGAGGACTTAAAAGTAGAACATCCAGGAAATCAATACAAGGCCTCATCTTCTGAAAGAAATCCCGCATGTCTGTTTGTGAGGAATGGAAAGCAAACAGTATCTGTACTGAGTTTAGAAATGCAGAGACCTGGTATCAGCGGAAGACTGGAAAAACAGATGAAAAGGAGAAAGCTAAGGCACAAGAGAATATTTAGTAGCTCCCAGATGACAAGAAGTGATACTGGATAAAGCAGCCACTGAATATAGAGACTGAGAGGAAACTGAATGAAAATAACTCCCTGAAAAGCTGAGCAGCAAAACTGGATTACCTAGGGTAGGGATGACCAGCCTGCAGCATACCTGCCAGAAGTAGCATGTGCAACCTCTGTGTGTAGCATGTGGCAGACCAGGGTGGGGATAGACAGTACAGTTGCAGATAGAGCAGCAGACTTGGCAAGGGAAGGGGATGAGAATAGCATAACACTTGGGATAGTGCAGGGCTAATTTGTGGTACACCTGCCAAAAAGTTGGCCCTCAGTGACACTGGGTATTTCAAACAGCAAAAAAACCCCTAGTTTTGTTGGCAAAGAAGCAAAGGGACAGCACAAAACAGCTCTACTTGCTCTCCTGTGCCAGTCAAATAGACCTGAGGCATCCAAAGTCAAAAAGAGACAGAGGCCCAAATCTTCCTGTCAGCACTGAGTGAAATATGATTAGGACAGTCTGGGAGACAAAAACCTATAAACTCTAATAAGCTTCATCAATTTGGTGGCATAGGGCAGCTAAAAAATTGATGTCTCCTAACCAGGTGATGCAGTCTCAAAAAGGAAAATTACCTCATAACAAATCAGATACCTGGTCATAGTTTCATAGTTTCTAGGGTCAGAAGGGACCTGAGTAGATCGTCTAGTCTGACCCCCTGCCATGGCAGGAAAGAGTACTGGGATCAAACGACCCCAGCAAGGTGTTCATCTAACCTCCTCTTAAAGACCCCCAGGGTAGGAGCCAGCACCACTTCTCTTGGAAGTTGGTTCCAGATCCTAGCCGCCCTGACCGTGAAGTAGCGCCTCCTGATATCTAGCCTGAATCTACCCTCTGCCAGCTTGTGACCGTTATTCCTGGTCACTCCTGG